ACAGGCCAATATCATTGATGAACACAGATGCAAACATCCTCAAAAAATACCAGCACGTTGACTCCAACAATACATTAAAAGAATCATATGCCATGCTCAAGTGAGATTTATCCCAGGGTTGCAGGGATTTTTCAGAATCTGCAAATCTATCAATGTGATACACCACATTAACAAATTAAAGAATAAAAACCATATGATCATCTCAATAGATGCAGAAAAAGCTTTTGATAAAATTCAACATCCATTTATGATAACAACTCTCCAGAAAGTGGGCACAGAGGGAACATAACTCAATATAATAAAAGCCATATATGACAAACCCACAGCTAGCATCATACTCAACGGTGAAAAGCTAAAGGCATTCCTCTAAGTTCAGCAACAGGACAAGGATGCTCATCTCACCACTTTTATTCAACATAGCTTTGAAGTCCTAGTCACAATAACCAAAGCAGAAAAGGAAATAAAAAGCATCCAAATCTGAAAAGAAGTAAAACTGTCACTGTATGCAGAGGACCTGATACATACATAGAAAATCCTAAGGATGCTACCAAACAACTACTAGAGCTCATCAAAGAATTCAGTAAAGTTGCAGGATGCAGAATTAACACACAGAAATTTGTTGCATTTCTATACTCTAACAATGAAAGATCAGAAAGAGAAGTTAAGAAAACAATCCCATTTACCATTGCACCAAAAAGAATAAAATACCCAGGAGTAAACCTACCTAAGGAGGCAAAAGACCTGTGCTCTGAAAACTGCAGGACGCTGATGAAAGTAACTGAAGACAACACAAAGATGGAAAGACATCTCAGGCTCTTGGATTGGAAGAATCAATACTGTTAAAATGACCACACTACCCAAGGCAGTCTACAGATTCAGTACAGTCCCTATCAAATTGCCAAGGGTATTTTTCACAGAACTATAACAATAATTTTAAAAATTTGTGTAGAACCACAAAAGACCCCAAGTAGCCAAAACAATCTTGAGAAAGAAGAATGGAGCTTGGAGAAATCACACTCTTTGACTTCAGACTGTATTGCAAAGCTACAGTAATCAAAACAGTATGGTACTGTCACAGAAACAGAAACATAGATCAATGGAACAGGACAGAAAGTCCAGAAATAAATCTATGGCACTTATAATCAATTAATCTATGACAAAGGAGGAAAGAATATACAATGGAGAAAAGACAGTCTCTTTGATAAATGGTGCTGGGAAAACTGGACAGCTACCTGTAAAAGACTGAAATCAGAACATTCTCTAACACCATACACAAAGGTAAACTTAAAATGAATTAAAGACCTAAAGGTAAGACTAGATACTATAAAACTCCTAGAGGAAAACACAGGCAGAACACTCTTTGATATAAATCGCAGCAATATTCTTTCAGATCCATCTCCTAGAGTAATGGAAATGAAAACAAAAATAAACACATGGGACTAATTAAACTTAAAAGCTTTTGTACAACAAAAGAAACCATAAACAAAACAAGAAGACAACCTATGGACTGGTAGAAAATATTTACAAATGATGAGACTGACAAGGGATTAATTCCAAAATATACAAACAACTCATATAGCTTAATATAAAAACACATACAGACAAAAAAGAAAACCAAAAAAACAACCCAACAAAAAACGGGCAGAAGACTTAAATAGACATTTCTCCAAAGAAGGCATACAGATAGCCAACAGTCACATCAAAAGATGCTCAACATCATTAATTATTAAAGAAATGCAAATCAGAAGTACAATTCTCACACCCGTCAGAATGGCCATCATCAAAAAAGTCCACAAACCATAAATGCTGGAGAGGGTGTGGAGAAAAGGGAACCTTCCTACACTTTTGGTGAGAATGTAAATTGGTGCAGCCACTATGGAGAACAGCATGGAGGTTCCTTAAAAAAACTAAACACAGAGTTACCATGTGATCCAGCAATCCCACTCCTGGTATCTATCTGGAGAAAACTAATTCGAAAAGATACATGCACCCTGATGTTCACAGCAGCACTACAGGAGCCGAGACACGGACACAACCTCAATGTCCATCAATGGATGAATGGTAAAGTAGATATGGCATATATATATATATATATATATA